TCTGCGATTTTCTCCTAATCTTGATTTAATTGAATATCATATCATACGCCTATCAAATGAACCCTAAAACGTGAGACATGTCGTAACCTGCTGAAGGTTTTTCAGCAATCCTCTGGGTAGCAGGTCGTTTCAAGATAGGTGTACATATTTTGTTGTGTATCAACCGAGTGGCCAACTGCCCGGTTTTTTCACCTGGCGTTTTATTGGTCAGTTCATAATCAGGTATTGTTCCTCCCTTTGTAATTGGTCTGCCCATTGCGCTGATTTATGTTCGGTACTGCGCATCCGGTGTATCCAAAATTTCTTCTTTGAGGTACCTGGATAATGATTCTAGACTAGATACATCTGGCTTGGAGCCGATCCCTTCTCATCCCACGTGCATGAACATCAACCAGTTGATGAAGCTGATACAACAGCATCAGGTTGAAAATGTGGTGGCAGAACAAGTGCTCAAAACAGAGAATTTTAAAGGACTCCTTACCAGCCTGATTGTTAGACAAACTAAGGCCTCCCCAACGACCTTATCTAAATATAAGATGAAGTTTTAAAGAGCTGTATGAGAACATATTCAAATTCGATGGCACTAAGTTTGATGATGCGTCTCTATCATGGCTAGAGTGATCACGTGAAGCATTGAAATTCGTGCAGTGTGTTTGAGTGGACCGACAACACAAAACTGTTCTAACTGTGTCGGCCGACTGGCCTATTTTTGTTCGTCTTGAGCACCTATCGTGCACTGGTACGTCAGATATGTGAAGCGTCTTGATGCCTCCACAAGTCCTGAGAATGCCGACGGTTTTGCCTCAATGCTTTCGGTTTATAACGAACGATCTTCGGGCAGCTAGCTTGATGAATAAACGCCACCCACGTTTCGCGACGATGAAAAAACGCGATGCAGAACAGCTGCTATTCATTTTATTTTGCAAAAGCAGCATCAAGATTCGTGTTCGTTAGGAACAGGCGATGTGAACAGAGTCGAAACTGAACTGAACGCAAATGAACTTAATTGAAATGGACTGAGCTGAACTTAACTGAACTGAACTGAATTGGACACGGCAGCTTCAACCAGCTCCGGTCCATCTAGGTGTGCCCATAATGTTACGGCATAACACTTCGGATTTTTTTAAAATTCCGAATTAGCTACATCACTTTTCACCTTCCATCAGTCGCCCTATTGATAACGGTTTGTGACGTAAAATAATTTAGAGGATATTGAACCAATGAACAACATGTTGCGGCATGAACACCCAATTTCAAAAAAGGACGAAGTTGTTAGTGTTTTGAGCACCACATTTGCCCTGAAAGTTCATTTGCTGGACATTTAACTAAAAGTACTTTTGAGAATGTGGCCTGACTTACGGGACGCCGTGAGTAAATGCATTGGCTAGTAATGTTTGCATATTTTGCACACTCTTGTTTCTGTGCATCATGAAGTCAACTTGCCTCCTGAATTGTGAGGCGGTGCGTCCGGAATCGATCGAAAACGGCCTGGAAACACATGAGCTCATCCCTCTTGAACATGCCCTTTGGCGTTTACTTATGGTGGGTTAACACATCCACCACGATTTGACGAAACGTTTTCTTGACGATTTGACCAAGCTGATAAAAGTGAGAAGAATAGTTGTGGGAGGTTGTAGATAGACTATAAAAAATTTGTCGCACATCTGAACAAATTACGTTGGATTTTTCTGTGGCTTCAAGAAACGACCGATAAAATTTTGGAATGATAACATTTACCTGTTCCAATGCATCCTCAATACCTATTCCCCAACACACAAATAGACTTCTACTTAAAACGATCTTTTATCCTGCATTCAGTCCATTTGTTGAGATCGACTGTATAAGAAGAATGAAAATACCAACCTGAAGTGCACAATGCAGCTTTTGCGAAGCGATTTCATGTTCTTCCTCGGTTGCGGCCTGCATCTATCGTCGAGACTTTGAAAACAAATGCACCTGGCAAGAAAGCATACTATCTACAGCATTCGGCTAAAACCTAGAAAAATGTTGAGCAACGCTTACTGGTAACAGGAACTCTGTCAGTGCTGAGTGGAAATCTAGATTACTCACTATTAAGAAGAAACAATCTAAATCCACTCGGTTGCTAGGGTAACGTAAAGTACTGACGAAATTCATTCCTCTGTACATCAGTTTGGAGTACGTAGAACATCACTAAACTTTTCATGAATTTCGCGGAAAATCTGAAATGCGGTGTTATTTCTCAGGTGTAGATTCATGCCATGAGCACATCCAACTAAACTCGTTGATGAAACAACGATCCCATTGCAGAATGAAATAGCACCATGAGTTATTCAGGTGATAATTTCTGTGCTCTCACCATGGTCAGTGGTAAACACCATGTTCCGTCGGAGGATGCAACATGGAGTCGACGAATAATTGCATTCGGTGAAATACCTGTCAGTTGGACCGATAGGTTTTCGACATCAGCCCGATTATCACTGATCATGGTACAGGCGGTCATCAGGCGCTACGTGTGTTTGATCTACGATTCAATCGCTCGGCGTTGTTTAAGCAGACCGGCTGCTATTACTATAAAAACTGATCTGTCTGTCTTACTGTCTATCTGTCTGCATGTCTTCCTGTCTGTCTATCTATCTACCCACCTCCCACCTATATATCTATCTTGAGAGTTGTCGGGAACCACATGGAGATGTTGATCGGATTAACACTAGTTTCCATCAAAACATATTTTTATTGAGATTATTGAGTCAGCCCTTAAATAGCATCCTTCGTCGATATTAAATAGGATCATAGGTGTTTCTGACACTGAACTTACAACTCATAAGACTGTCATTGGAATGTGAAGTGGTCACTTGGTTCGTTAAACATCCAGCAGTAAATGATCCAAAGGAAAATTCAACATATGGAATACGGCGCTGTTCATGTTCTGCTATGGCCCCATCATTTCGGTGCACCAGCAGATTATAATGACCTTGGAAGTTTCCAACTAGGAGGCGCTCCATCGCCTGAAATAAACAATAAACAGAAACCTATCAGTTCATCGTCAACCAGGATAGCGTATTCTTACACACAAGGCAGAATCGGCTCAACATGGGGCCGTAATTTACCACCTTAATACTCACGTGTTAGTGTTGAAAAATCCGGTCGATCAATGAACGTCATTTACGAAACCGTTTCATCCACCATCAGTGTATAGCAATAGTATTGTCACCTAAGTATTCTCGTTCAGGTTCAAGGCACTCATCGCACCATCACAGAAAACCACATCACGTGGCCACAAATTGACGGGCTCCTCGAGTGTCGACTGTCCAGATGGAAGTTTCCGTCATCGCGTAAATCTAATGTTCCTCTGAGTTACTTGTAAATGATTCATATAGATTACACTACCTTCTGTTCCTTAGCATAGAAACGTATGAATCATAAGGTACCCAAAGCCACTGCTTGGTTATCCGGAAAGTGACACCGGCTAGGTTTGGATAACTAGTTGCCTCGACTGGCAACCTTGCTGAACTCGGTCTATGGAACCTGAAGTTCCTAATCAAGTATTTGCAACATTGACCCTCACTGATCCAAGGTAGCCAAATACAACTCTCATCTCGATACATACACTCATTTTCATAACAGTTTGACTTTTCACAAGTGGCCCAAATGAATCTCTCTGTAGCATTGTGTGACTCACCAATTCACCGTATTTCATCACGTGACTGAACACTGTACACTTTCTCACTGCTTCGTACTGTTGCTCCAGTGTACGCCTTTTTATGTCATACTGCGTGCGGGTGGGAGATAATGACAACGGGGAGCTATGTGAAGCAAACAGATCAGCCTACGCAATTTTTAGACGAATCCGCTGTGGGGAAACATTGAAACTATCACTAGAGTTAAGACTACCGACGTATGTTATGAGACATACTGCAGGTGAATTAGTGAACGCCTCGCTGNAACCTGAAGTGCACAATGCAGCTTTTGCGAAGCGATTTCATGTTCTTCCTCGGTTGCGGCCTGCATCTATCGTCGAGACTTTGAAAACAAATGCACCTGGCAAGAAAGCATACTATCTACAGCATTCGGCTAAAACCTAGAAAAATGTTGAGCAACGCTTACTGGTAACAGGAACTCTGTCAGTGCTGAGTGGAAATCTAGATTACTCACTATTAAGAAGAAACAATCTAAATCCACTCAGTTGCTAGGGTAACGTAAAGTACTGACGAAATTCATTCCTCTGTACATCAGTTTGGAGTACGTAGAACATCACTAAACTTTTCATGAATTTCGCGGAAAATCTGAAATGCGGTGTTATTTCTCAGGTGTAGATTCATGCCATGAGCACATCCAACTAAACTCGTTGATGAAACAACGATCCCATTGCAGAATGAAATAGCACCATGAGTTATTCAGGTGATAATTTCTGTGCTCTCACCATGGTCAGTGGTAAACACCATGTTCCGTCGGAGGATGCAACATGGAGTCGACGAATAATTGCATTCGGTGAAATACCTGTCAGTTGGACCGATAGGTTTTCGACATCAGCCCGATTATCACTGATCATGGTACAGGCGGTCATCAGGCGCTACGTGTGTTTGATCTACGATTCAATCGCTCGGCGTTGTTTAAGCAGACCGGCTGCTATTACTATAAAAACTGATCTGTCTGTCTTACTGTCTATCTGTCTGCATGTCTTCCTGTCTGTCTATCTATCTACCCACCTCCCACCTATATATCTATCTTGAGAGTTGTCGGGAACCACATGGAGATGTTGATCGGATTAACACTAGTTTCCATCAAAACATATTTTTATTGAGATTATTGAGTCAGCCCTTAAATAGCATCCTTCGTCGATATTAAATAGGATCATAGGTGTTTCTGACACTGAACTTACAACTCATAAGACTGTCATTGGAATGTGAAGTGGTCACTTGGTTCGTTAAACATCCAGCAGTAAATGATCCAAAGGAAAATTCAACATATGGAATACGGCGCTGTTCATGTTCTGCTATGGCCCCATCATTTCGGTGCACCAGCAGATTATAATGACCTTGGAAGTTTCCAACTAGGAGGCGCTCCATCGCCTGAAATAAACAATAAACAGAAACCTATCAGTTCATCGTCAACCAGGATAGCGTATTCTTACACACAAGGCAGAATCGGCTCAACATGGGGCCGTAATTTACCACCTTAATACTCACGTGTTAGTGTTGAAAAATCCGGTCGATCAATGAACGTCATTTACGAAACCGTTTCATCCACCATCAGTGTATAGCAATAGTATTGTCACCTAAGTATTCTCGTTCAGGTTCAAGGCACTCATCGCACCATCACAGAAAACCACATCACGTGGCCACAAATTGACGGGCTCCTCGAGTGTCGACTGTCCAGATGGAAGTTTCCGTCATCGCGTAAATCTAATGTTCCTCTGAGTTACTTGTAAATGATTCATATAGATTACACTACCTTCTGTTCCTTAGCATAGAAACGTATGAATCATAAGGTACCCAAAGCCACTGCTTGGTTATCCGGAAAGTGACACCGGCTAGGTTTGGATAACTAGTTGCCTCGACTGGCAACCTTGCTGAACTCGGTCTATGGAACCTGAAGTTCCTAATCAAGTATTTGCAACATTGACCCTCACTGATCCAAGGTAGCCAAATACAACTCTCATCTCGATACATACACTCATTTTCATAACAGTTTGACTTTTCACAAGTGGCCCAAATGAATCTCTCTGTAGCATTGTGTGACTCACCAATTCACCGTATTTCATCACGTGACTGAACACTGTACACTTTCTCACTGCTTCGTACTGTTGCTCCAGTGTACGCCTTTTTATGTCATACTGCGTGCGGGTGGGAGATAATGACAACGGGGAGCTATGTGAAGCAAACAGATCAGCCTACGCAATTTTTAGACGAATCCGCTGTGGGGAAACATTGAAACTATCACTAGAGTTAAGACTACCGACGTATGTTATGAGACATACTGCAGGTGAATTAGTGAACGCCTCGCTGTTTCCGGTCACCATACATGTGCATATAACATATCTTAAGGATTTGGTGCTCCATGCTTCTGATTGTCACCACCACCACCATCCTCATCATCATAATCGCCATCAACGGAATAAGATACTTATGATGGAATGCCATACAAGAATTTCAAATTATTTGTAGTGGTAAACTAAAGGATAATGGGACAGGAAGGAAAACCTAGGGCTAGCTTACAGCATACACCCGAGATACTTATACATCCGAGACCGAGTCAGACAATCTGGATAGAAACAGACGGCCTGAACGTAAATGGCATATTGATTCATTTCGACAGATGTATTGAGACGAAGGCGTTCAGGAGATCCACCAGCATCATCGTCATCATTATTATCATCAACATCAACGTCATCACTGTCAACATCCGTATTCACCATTGACACTTCCCTGCATGCATTCAATGTCCAATTAGTGCCCTATTAAATAGAAAAGGATCAAAATGCGCCTACAGCTCCAGATAATTACACAGGCGATCTGAAACGAAAATGATAACAAGAACTCCGATACTATCGACTCAAGTCCAGTCACGATGGGAATCAGGCGGTCTCCACCGACGAGGGCGAATGGCACCGATGGTGCCCAGACATTTGTCAGTCTCTTTCATATCACCTTGAAGATCAGAGACAAACCTGATTAGGAGGGTAGTGAAAATTTTTGGACATGCAACCAATGGATTGAGTAGTTTGGGACCAACGGGCGCTCGTAATGCCTCAATTGCCATAAATCCTCTTTATGCTTGAAACCAAAATAATAAATTATTTTGAGAATCAAATGGACTACCACTGGCTGCTGAATACCACTGAACTACCCATCCACAACTGACAGGCTTATCTGTAACATTTCTGTGTAAACTCACGCGATCCGAATCGGAAAGCCAGGCATACGAGAAATCGTCCGCTAGACAAACATCGATTTACATGTCATAACAAAAAATAGCCCAGAATTATTCGTTATTATTCATCATTATCGGGAGGAACGATAGATGAAAATACTGAAGATTCACTGCCGTACAAGCATGATAAATTATTCCTAGTGTATAAATAAAGGATAATGGAACATGAAGGAAAACCTAGGGCTAGCCTACAGCATACACCCGAGATACCTACACATCCCGTACCTAGTCAGACACTCTGGATAAAAACTGACAGAATGAATGCCATTGACATATTGATTCATTAAACGGCAGCGTGCCGGAGATCCACTGTCGTCATCAACATCATCACCATCATCATCATCGTTGTCAACATTATCAACGTCATCGGTTTCGGCATCTGTATTCAACATTGACGCTTCCCTGCGTGTATTTAAAATCCATTGACTGCCCCACTCAAACGAAAGGAATCAAAAATATTGAAGAGTGAGTTGTTGGCCTACCACAACCATTCTCATGCGCCTATATCTCCGGGCAATTAATCAGGCGATCTGAACCGGAAATGATAACAATAACTCCAATAACATCGATGCAACGACATTCACGATGGGAATCAGGCGATCTCCACCGAAGAGGGCGCATTACACTGATAGCACCCAGACGTTTGCTGGTCTCTTTCATATCACTCTGCAAGATCAGAGGCGAAACTGATTGGGAGGGTAGTGAGAAATGTCGGACATACAACCAATGGTTTGATTATTTTTTTGGGACACCGGATGGCCTCAATCCTCTTCGTGCCGGAAAACAAAATGATAAATGGTTTTGAGAATCAAATGGACTGCCACTGGCTGCTTAATACCACCGGATTACCCGTCGATAACTGACAGGCTTATCTGCAACGGCTTTGTTAAAAACTTACGAATTCCCAATCTAAAATCCAGTAAAACGAGTATTCGTTCGCTAGACAAACATCGATTTCCTCGTCCATACAAGAAATAGCATGGGAAGCTCCATCTTCGTTGGCTGATTTTGTCACGTAGACTGCAGGTATAGGGGTTCAGTCAACAGATATGGAGGTCATTATCAAAGATGTGCGGAATATTGAGGTGAAATATCAACGAAAGGATCCTGTGACTCCAAGAGATAATAATGCTGCAAAACGTCTAGATATAGCACACTATTCAGAAGGGCGCTGATATTTCCTGGACAGAAAATCATGGTTTTGATGCTTCTTGCGGCGAATCAGGTAAGCTCAGACCTTGATCAACTCTAAAACGTAATCAAGACTTGAACCCAGACTGGGCGGAATTTGCCAAAAACTCTGATGAACGAGATATTTATCTATGTTCGTTCGGGTCCGCTCGTCGAAATCGAATGAGCGTGTGAACGTATAATCTGTACATTATTTTGAATCCATGAAGACGAGGGTATCGTTCAACATCATTGGATACAGCTGTCGCAAGACATGAAGAAAAATTTTCGTGAGCTCGAGATGAGTCACTCGATGAGTCAGCCACCAGTGATGTGGATCATTTGGTTGAAGAATGGGCGATGTTATGTCCTAACTAAGTGCGGATAAATCAAGCTGATCGTTGGCCGCTCGTGGCCGAATTGTTACACGTTACATCTATCTAGCGCACCACTGATGATTCCCAATAAGGATGGAACATTTGCATATTGCTTCTCAGCTTTCCATCACAGACTGGTTCCTCATAAATAAATACAAAATGTTCGTACTATTCAAGATTCGTGTTGTCGTTCTAGAAGCGAAAAGCAGTATGTTGTCGCGTTGACGCGTTCTTCGTGTCTTCTACGCATCATGAGTGACCGTACACGACCAGATTCTTTGTTTATGGTACCTCCGTTTGCTCTGCAGTCTAAATGGATCGACCGCGAAATCATGTGAGTTGATCGACCTTAAACTTCGTTAAACAAAATCTACGTGACGAAGTCATTTAAAGCAGTTTGACTGTAAACACTCTTTTATGAATAATTACCGATGTCATTGCACCAACATGTTTACGTATGCCTTTTCAATCCGTTCACTTTTTAGTCCTAATTAAATAAACGGCGTGCTAAATCCGTGGTTACCAAAATTAACTAAACTTACTTCTTCTAGGAAGGCAATCTGGGAAGTCCAACCATGGCCAGAGTAGAAGATGAACACGTTGTCATTAGGACCTCTCGTGGTGGGCAGAGAGGTTAAGGTGGCCTTTAAGAGTGCCTTATTGGCTGGCGCTCCCACACGTAGAAATGCACAGGGAAAAACCTGCGTGAATGGAAGCATAGCGGAACGTGGTTCAGAATATTGTTTTATACACGCTGCTGGATATGAGCAGTAGCTAAGTTAATTTCTGCTAGTCTGCTATCTGCATGGCCACGTAAATACGGGGATGAAAATTCGATTCAATGGACGTTTGCTGGTTATTTCATATGGTGTTCAATCCATGAAGATGTTTGGAAGCAATGTCCCACTTTAGTTGGTCTTGTTCTCTTGCCGTTGGAACGGTCACACTCAGCTCTTTCAAATAGACGCTCTTTTTAGAATGATTACATCTGTTTAATGAAATATCTACATGAGATATACACTACTCCATACCTGTCTGATATTATACGGCTGTGACTGGCTGAACGCAGCATAAACCTCTCGGCGTCCAAATGGTCGATTTCGAACTGTGCTGCGTTCTGGCTGGCATCCCCTGAATTCGATTGCTGCGTTAATTTGTTTCTGTCTGAATAGCTTTTTCATGATCTGTCGAGCTGTGGTTCTGGCTGGCATCCCCTGAATTCGATTGCTGCGTTAATTTGTTTCTGTCTGAATAGCTTTTTCATGATCTGATTGAACGAACGGCGATTTCTAATGTGTTGCATTCTGTCTTTCTCCATTCGATTGGCTCTCACTCCGACTTTTGATTTCGGTAGTACAATTTGATTATTTTTCTTTATTGCAGTTGTGCTGTGGCCTGATTTTTCGGATTTTGTTCTCGCGAATGCTTTTCTAGTTAATAAAACTTGTCTGTTTTGCAGATGAGTTTATCACCTTTGATCACCTATTCTATAAACCACCTCATTTTCCTACTCTATCCCAAATAACTACAGGCGGCATCGGAAAAACTGAATTTATTCGACTTAGTATGGTAGAAGCTTTTAACCACCTTTC